CGCAGGTAACATCTCCAGACATAACAGTGCGTTAAATAATGAAATATGATTTTGAAATAGTAAATATACCCTTCTTAATTAATTGAAGTTATTAACAATTTGAAATTTTATTCTAATTCTTCGTGGAAACTATTAAAAGATACCTCCAAAATTTCAATCATAAAATGTTTTTCCATTCTAATTGAATAATCGGAATGAAAATTAAATGGCTAGTTGACCCATGAGGGTCACGTTTTGCTGGGAGTTTCCCATGGCTTTGAGCGGATTAAAAATTTTTACACCCTCCCCCACTTTTTGCAATTGTCATGAGACCGGGGCACGCATACCCATTGTTTATGGCACCCGTTTACTTTTTTTTTAAAGACACTTCCGGTCTTTTATTGCCTTTCGTCCGCAAAAGTACTGGATTTTCCAGGTGTTCGAAATAGCCCCTCATAAAACCCCACTACCCTCTCATTCATACACTCACTCTGTTGATTGAGTCCTCGGGAAAATTTTTCTTGAATTTCTCTCAGCATTTAGGGGCTTGTCCTAGGGTTAAGATTGAGTGATCACAAACCTATCTACAGTGCGAACGAGATTCTCCTTCAAACAACAACAGTGTTAATTCAAAAGTGCTGAAGCCAATTGGCGATTTTGAGGATATTCAAGGACGAATCTAGTAAGTACCCTTTTTTCATTATATAATTTATCCGAAAATAATAATTAACGGGCGAGAGAATATAAAATAGCCAAAGTCTCAGTTGAACCTTTGTCAAAAATTCCAGTTACCAAACAAAATTTAATACGACTCATTTTCATCTATAAAAGCAAGTGGAGATTAGTTTTTTAAACATTTTTTGGAAATTTTGATTTGTGTTATGCGGAAAATATCCTTACACCCCCGCCATTGAATTTTACACTGAATTCTTATAAATTTTTTCAGGTAATATGTATACCTGTCAGTTCTGTTCGAAATAATCAAATTGGCTCAGATGTCATTTATTACACCATCGAATGCGACACGGCAATATTAGCCAACAATTCCATTGCGGATATAACGGATGCGAACTTGCTTTCCGCGGGGAGTCTTACTTGTATAAAGATTTAATTAGATATCATAAAATATCAGCGAAAAAGACAGAGGCTATTGCACTACTAGTGTCCAAGACAAATAACAACTGTCTGTACGGTCGCAGTATGTGAGCAAACATTTCATGATTATCATGTTTATATGAAACATTTGAGATACCATATACGAACTGGAACCGAAGTACTTTGCCCAGTCTCAGGTTGTAACAAAAAATATTCATTGCTTTCCTCTTTTACGGGCCGCATGTCATCGTATCATAGACCTACTCAATTTGATCACGTTGAACGAAAAAATCTCGTTTCTTTCCTTGATAAAACGCGTAAAAATAACGAAGATGAACAAATTCACCAAAACCATTATGAGTTAACAGTGCATGAGGAAAATTTTGATATAAATGACGATAGCATTGATGTGAACAGTGAAGATGAATTAAATGATGATTTTTTTAATTTAGCAGATTTTTATCTTAGAATGGAGAGTCAATTTATTGTTCCAGTCGCGACAATACAAAAAATCATTGAAAATTTGCAGATTTTGAATGAGGCAAGCCAGAAATCTGTAGCTGCTCAATTGAAAAAATTATTATCATCAGAAAATTTATCAGAAGGAAAAATTCAGGAAATTATTAATGAGGTCGTTTCTTTAAACACTTTTACTCGCCAAAATGAATTTTTAGATACCGATTACAAACGGAAACTTTTCTATCAAAATCAGCCTCTGTATGTCAGCCCATGCGAAATATTTTTAAAGAAAGAAGGGAACAAGAAATTGTATTTTCAATATATGCCTATCGGAGATACACTAGGAAATTTATTCAAAAATTACAATAACTTCCCTGCCCGGAAAGTTAATAAATAAATCAATCATTTCTTAAAATTGAACGACACACCCAGAAATGATGGAGTATTGAGAGACTTTACCGATGGATTGGTCGTTAGAAATAATGAATACTTTGAGAAAAAGCCGGATGCAATCAAATTGATCTTATATCAAGATAGTTTTCAGGTGGTCAATCCTATTGGGGCTGCAAAGAAAAAACAAAATTCTTGCAGTCTATCTGAGTTTAGGAAATTTACCCGCACATCTTTGTACTCATATCAATACAATTCAGTTGGTTGCCCTATCTACAGAGCGAAATTTTGATCACCATAACGTATATGGGAAAATTGTTGATGATCTCAAGTTATTAGAAAATGAAGGGTTGGAAATAGCACCGGGCGACATACGGAAAGTAGGATTGGCTTTTATCGCAGGGGATAATTTGGGAAGTCATGCATTAGGTGGATTTCTTGAAAATTTCAGCAAAGCCATTTATTTTTGTCGTTATTGTCTCATTCGAAGAGATCAATTCGATAAAAGCATCAAATTTTGTACGCAGTGTGATACAACTCATTATCACCATTTTGAACCTACTCAGAGAACAATTTTTTTTATTGCTTCCTATGATATGCACGCTCAAAAGGCAGTCGAGACAAATAAACCACAGTTTGGCGTGAAATTCAATTCGATCTTCAATCAGCTCAAGAATTTTCACGTCTGTCTGCCAGGGTTACCACCGTGTTTAGGCCATGATATTACTGAGGGTTTCGCAGCATTTGATTTGAAGCTTTTCATTGATTATTTTATAGAGAACGGTTGGTTCACGTATGATGAGATCAATTACAAAATCGAGAATTTTCCATATTCAATAGACAGTCGCAAAGATAAACCCTGTCTTATATTGCCCGACAAGGGCAGAATAGTTGGAGGGGCGTGGCAAATTCTAACATTCATACTCCTTCTCCCTCTCATCATTGCGAATAACATGAAAGATAGTGATGATCCGGTTTGGAAAGCCTTTTTAATCATGTCCGAAATGATCGAAGTAATTTGTTCATACGAAATTCATGAAAAATATTTACCATACTTGGAGAGTTTAATTGATGACTATTTGTTTTTACGTACAAAATTGTTCCCCGACAATCCATTGCGCCCCAAACATCATTACCTAACCCATTACCCTTCATTAATATTATCATTTGGCCCTTTGATGCGTGTATAGACTCCGATTTGAAAGTAAACATAGATTTTTCAAAAAAGTTTTCCGTTGCCTGGGCAATTATAAAAATGTGAATAAAAGTTTGAGTGTGAAACACGAATTATCTCAATGTCTTTTGCGCGAAGGCTCAGATTTCCGTAATGATGTAGAACTGGGGAAAAGTTGCAAGTTTGCAGCTCGAAGGTTCAGCGTTGATATTCAAAATGCCATCAAAGTAATATGTCCCACAATTACAGATATTGATGAATACATGTGTGTCGTAGTAAAAGGGATAATGTACAGGCCAGATCGGGCTTTCATTTTCCGCCAAAATGACATGGGTACTGAATTACAAATCGGAGTGATTGTTCGTATATTCGTTGATGTTTATTCCAATATTTATTTCCTTGTGGAAAATAGAGAAAATAATTTCAATCCAATCTTGCGCACGTACGAACTTGGAAGTCAATTTTATAACGAATGCATATCGTTGAAAACTCTTTATAATTATCATCCACTTCACGTTTATATATTAGATACAATACGATGTATCCGTTTAAAGCATGGAATTGTCGGAAAATGAGTCTCTAGATTTGATTCAATCTCTCCTTGGTGTTTTTCTCAAGTATGAACCTCAACTATTATCCAAAATTTTTATTAATGGCCCCTCCACACTGCTCAATCTTACTAATTATCAATTTTTTTCAGTACAATGTCTTTATACGACGTCACAAATGAGACCACCAGCCCTCGGGCCATCATTGTAGCCAATAATTTAGAGGAGATCATCTCACAATCTGTTATCGAGCTGGCATTACCAAGGGCTGAGTATAAGATATTATATTATTATTTTTACATGATAAAATTGTATGTTCGCCGGGGTCATCGATAGTAATGGACATTTTAATATTTTCAGATTGTTTTGGAAAGCAATGGAGCAGTTATCTCAAACTTCCATGTATTAGAAGTATGGATGGAAAAGTTCAAGGAATTGCCTCAATTTAGAATCGTCCCTAGAAAATAAAATGTGCAAAAACATGAGTCACAGTCCAAGAATTATTTGGATCATCATATTGTGGAGGTGCCAATGGCGACCACTTCATCGTTTACAGAACACTCTGTTCCAACTTATAACGATTCAACAGTACGGATAGCCCCAGCTCCCTTGAATGATGATCTTCATTGTGAGGAGAGTGAGAACAGTGCTGCTGCAGCGAATCAACAAGCAAAGCCAAAACTCTGGTCGTGGTCACAATTGCCTAAGCATATTATTAACCAATGTAGAGATAAGAAACGGTTGGAGAGATGCGATATGGATCTCGTGACGAATCTGGTTGCGTCGCACTTGCTCTTTGCTGTGAAGGATACGAGAATTACGGCAATCAGAGCAATCATCCGTGAAATAATTCAGCAATATCCTGACACGTTCTATGACCGATTAAATGGGAGATTATTGACTACGACAGTCGTATTGGAAAAGAAGATTGCTCAAAATATTTATCACAAGAGAAATCAACGTAAAAGAAATGCAGCAGGGGATGAAATTGATACGACAAGAAGGAAACGAAGGAGACTTGATGAAATGGAACATGTGCTGGATTCACAGGGATGTGTTCGTTGGGAGCCTCCAATTCCTGTCGACCAGAGTGAGGAAACTCAAAGCGTTGCTCAGCAATTTTTGAAGGATGCGGCAAATGCACCAAATGATTCAACAACGCAAATCCTCCATGCCCTCGAGCAATCATATTCGAAGCAGAGGATGGACTTCAGTCATCGCTCAGGACTCATTTTTGAAGCCCTCGAAAATTGGCCGGTTCTCACCCAGGCAGAATTTTTCATGTGGCACGCTAGTGAACTACTTGGAAAGAGCGTGGATACTACCTTCAATGAAGGATTACAGAACAAATCGATAATAATTCAATATATGAAGTATTATGAAATCCAGAGATGTAACAGTGAAAAGCAACAACTGCTGGAGATGAGAAGGATTTTGAATGCAGCGGAGCTTGCTAGACAGCGCCTTCAGTGTGACAACCCTTTGAAAATCGCGACAATTCCAGTCTTGCTAGCCTACTTCAAAGAAAATCAAGATAGGCTATACATCATTAGAGATGTGAGTGATATTTTTTTTTGGAAATTTGAGATTTTTTGAAATTTTGTTAGAATTTTCTCAATGAATAAATATTATTTTTCAGGCTGCCACGACAGAAGATGATCTTGAAGCTTGCATCAGTGCACCAACTCCTACCCTGGTGATTCTAGGAAACTCCTTATATGATAGGTCTGCTTCCTGTAAGATTTATATTGAGAGTAAACCTTGCCTCACAGCTGATAATGTGTTACAAGGTTTCCTTATAACATTCTTGGCCTACTTCGTATTTGGTCTCGAATATCCCAGTCAGATAAAAAGCACACTGGAATTCATCCAGAGGTAAAGTTTCAATATTACACTGATAAAAAATTACATATGAATTTTCAAAATGGAAATCTTTCGAAATTTCTGAGGAGAGTTAATTTAAAGGAAATACAAAATAATCCATGTATTGGAATACTAGTAATTTTCTTGAAAATTCCACGGAAATTGAAATTTCAATTGACGATGGTGCTGAAAATTATGGAAATTCAGACACTATCTTGGATTTTCTATTTTTTTAAATTCAGTGTTAATTTAAGTTTAATTGTCTAATCTATTTTGAAAATTCATTTCATTATTGAAACTTTTATGAGTATTCAATATGAAAAAAATTAGAGCAATGCTAACATCAATGTAACTTAAATTTTAAGGGGACTAACACATAGCCTCATTCATTTTCCAGAATTTTTTTGGACATCAACCCAGAGCTTGGTCATAAGAGAGTGAGCGGGCAAAAAAGACGACGTTCTCAGATTGATGTAAAATCACAGAGCTTGAGTGAGTACATTGAGAAATTCCACGAGAGACTTGCAAACTTCAATAATACTGTATAGATATATAACATGAATATAGAATAGGTCTAGTTATATTTGAATCTACTTTTAACTGAGTGAATCAACTTGCTGATGAAGACTAAAAATAAGTAGATGTTATACTTTACAATAAACTTATTTTTATAAATAATTCAATTAGGTCTAGTAAAAAAAGGAAATAATATTACTATGTCAAAATATATGTATATGTTCGCTTCATTCGTAATAATAATAGATGGAAATTTCAAAATAATGAATGAATTTATTAATAATCATAATAATACTAATAATAAACGGAGAAAATTGGGCCCTAAATGTCCTTAAATTCCAATACCAACCGTATGAATTTTAAAAAAGGACTTCATTTTTCAAGGTTTTAGTTGCCGGTTTATCATAGCCATTCTCAAATATTCATGTCTACATCAAAATTAAATTTCCAAAATGCCTTGAAAATCATAGTTTTTTCTTCAATAATAAAGTCCTTTGTTACTTCAATATTGCGAGCCACAGTCGGCATATCTCAGGCCACCACGGCTAATTTCGTGTTCGCCCCGAAAATTCAAGTCCATTTTCACTTGACGTTTAGGGTTCCGTGTACCTGATATCTACCGGCTGGTTTGGGAAGTTCAAGTGGGAATTACCTGGAACCTTAAGGGATAATCTGACTTGGAAAAAACTTTGCCATCATTTTTCCTTCAAATTTCCTTCAAATTTCAAAACGTTTCTAACAGTGTAGATCTCGCTCTATTAACCCAAACTATAGTTCTTCTGGATAGTTTTTTGTTGTAGAACCATGGTTTGCGGGATTTAACAAAATATTCTCTAAAGAATTCTTTCCCTTTACCTCTTACAACTTCATCCGATCCCTCCATGATACAGATTTCTAAAGTAGAGTCCAGTGATCTCTTTTTGAAATTTTCACGATAGTCAGTGAACGGGATGGTAACGCGATATCTCTGCAACCATGATAGTTGTGAGAAAAAGTTGTAAAACAAAATCTGTCCACTTTTCGATAAGGAACATTTTTTGTTTGAAACTTTTTCCCCTACAGTCAGCCATTTCTGCGATCATTAGTTTTAAATAATTAAATTATTACAAACAAAGAGACTGCCCATAATTTCGCACAATCGGTTATCATATTCGCAATCAAACCTGGAAGACAGAATCCAATAATCAAATCTTCTGGATATCTCAATGGACACCGAAATGCCCCTGGCGTATGGACTACACCTACGAAAAAGGTCTTTTGATAGTTTTTTCTAAAATCATATATTAAAATAATTCTATATTCAATGAGACATGAACAATCGACTTGTGAACTTTTACTACTTCACTACTGATATCATTGCACGAATAATTGAAATTATTAAATTATTTAACTCACTCCTCGGTACGGATAAATTAATTTGTTTTAACCTATATTCCATGACGTCGGAATTAATAGTTCGTATTACGAGATAGAACGAGAAAGATATTTTAAATTGATCTTTCATTATTTGTTGAATCTCTTGGAAGCTAACAGACAGCGTCTTTTTCATCATAAATCTTTTTGTAAAGAGTAATGAAATCTACAAGCAATGATTGTAGAATAAATTTTGAACCCGTCTTTGATCACAATATATTGGGCCAAATCTGCACTTCCAAGAGCATTCACTAATTGAATTTTGATCAGCATATTTTCTCCTGTATCTTGGAATCTAACGGAGATACAATATTTTTAATAAAGAGCTTTTATATAGCTCTTGAAATTTTCTACGGAAAAGGTTCTCACAAAAATCTCTGTATCTGTTGATAAATCTTCAATAATCAATGAAAATGCAATAAATTACGCTCGACTCGATTTAAATCGACTGCGCATGGCGCTTCTACGCTCGAGCGGCGCGCGCATACGTGGGGTGAGCTGAATCGATCAGCTGATATTTAGGGGATGTTGGCGTTGGCATAACTTCAACAATTAATTACGCGAAAATGAAAAATTGTGGAGTAGTACTTCTCGCTTCAATTTTGTAGAGATTTTTTTCCTCTACAAAAGGATATATTTTTCATCTCGACCTGATGAACGAGAATCAGTGATATTAGTAGTAATGTGCTCATTGTCAATAGTTTTTAATTAATTAAAAATATTTCCTGCCAAATTGAGAGATAGGACATTCCGTTATTTTATTCAGCTTAATTTTCTGAACAAGACGGGATCTTTTTTATTAGTTCGGGAATTATTTGAAGATATACCTAAAAATTATGTCAGATAGTCGCATTTTCCCATCAGGCGACCAGACTAGGGTTAATATCAATAAAAATATCAATATCTACATTACAATTGTAAAGTGAAGGGGTAAAAAATCGTGTAAGTGAATTGATTACAAAATAAATTGATCATGATTGTTTTAAAAATTGGTAGAAAAAGTACGATCATTTAATTAATTATACGTGACACGCAGATACCTTCTCTGTATCTGGGTTTTCTTCATCCACCTCTGATACTGAAGCTCCAGCTGTTCTTCCCATCTCGAAAGGTCTCTCAGAATTTGTAATTTTCGGTCAGAATGAAAAAAGGCTCTTATGCGACATATCCCCTGACCACTCATCCATCTCATCAACCAGTTTGAAAGTTTGAAGAAGTTGGCTCTCAATGTGTGCCTCCATGAATTCGATATGAGTCATCTGTGGATGGTCTACTGTAGCAGGAGGTGTCTCCAGTAGTTGCTGTCGCAAAGCTTTCAGTTGTTTCTCATAATTGATTGCGTCAGGATCGAAGGGATGGAGCCCAGTTGCACGAAATCCATTGCGTATGATTGACTCCCAATTTAATTTATCAATTGCTTTCTTTAGAACCCCTCCGAAGTGTTTTTTTTTTCAATCGGTCTCCACCGGTAGCCAGTCTGCATTCTGGAACTACCTTTTTCCACACAGCTTTCAGCGGATGAAAAACTGCAACGTCCAGAGGCTGGAGAACGTCGGTAGAATTAGGATAAAGTGCACTTAGTTCGATGCCATTCTCACGACAGAACTCACTCAGATCTAAAGTCAAATGAGACGAGCGTCCATCCAAATACAAGATAACTGGTAATTTAATTTTGTTTTGATGAGCCACGGGTGAAACGAGTGACGTACCCAGCCAAGAAATGAAGTGGCTGTCATCTATCCACTGTCTGAACGAGCAATAGTGTATTCCTTAGGTATGAGAGATGCAACACCAGCAGGTATTCGCACGTAATTGAACATGATCATCGGTGGTAAGAGTTGGCCAGCTGCATTTCCACAGAGCAGGACTGTGAGACACTCCTTGTTATTATTGTTTACGAAATTATACGCAGATCGTTCGCCTCGTTTTGCTAGCACTTTTTGAACTTGTGGAGACAGGAGGAAGCCAAACTCATCGCAGTTGAATTTCCTTGTCGGTCCAATCTTTTTTTTTTTTTTTTATATATTCCGGCCCTTTCTGCCCTCTGCACCGCATTCGCACTCCTATAGAACATAGGAGTAGCATGGGAAACCACAGAAAACCCATGCCGGTACAGACGGTCACTATATTAGCGACCTCCCGCTCGCCGGAGCCTCCGGTTGAAAAACTCGGTTCCACGGCGAATTGAACTCACAACCTTTCGTACACTAGGCTCGCACCTAGCCGTTTCGGCCACCGACGTCGGTTCGGTCCAATGTTTAATAAATTTTTAGAAATCAAGTAAGCTTTGTGACTACCAAACCACTGGTGTATTCTCTCTTCAGTAACTGCAGCCCGAGTGTAAGTGATATTCTCTGAAAATCGCTCGCAGATTTCTGGATGTCGTCTCTTAAACCTTTCCCACCAGTGTTTTCCAGGACGATCATTAGTGAAAACATCATGTTTGAAATGCAGCAATCAGTTAAACGGTCGGTCCTACCGATTATCCTCGAGCACCATCGGGAACCTTCGGGTGGAGCAGTCAGGGGATCGCGAAACCCCCAAAAAGTAGTTAAACTCTAGCTATTGAGTAGATTGCACGCGTATTCAATTTAAATACTTTCGTCCAGTACATCACCATAATAATAATTCATTAATTCAGTCCAGCAAATTTGCAGTGAATCAACTCAGTTAATTTCAAGGTGACTCTCAACAATTTTTGATCATTAACAGCTATTATAAATTACCAAAGAGTGTAAATAATTTTCCGACTAAAGTGGTTCGATCTCACAACTAAAGTGTGGTGTTTAAATCCGGCTAAATAGTGATTTTCCCAACATCTCCCTCCACATTTTCATCCCACATCCACCCTAAAATTAGTCATTCTCCGAACACATTAACTTTACCCATCGTTTTCATCAGTCTTTGAGCAGAATTCATCAGCTGATCCTTGGTGACAGGATCAAAACCCTGTTCACACATGTAGAAAATCCGTTCTATAAGCCGCTGTTCAGTGACATCTCCTAGAATACTTTCAGGGCCTCGTCTACTTATTACAGGTTTTGAAATGCCTTTTTTCTTGTCGAATAAAGTTGACTTGGGAATATTGAATTCTCTGCTCACTAAGGCAATGGGCATTCCTGCATTTATAGACTTCAGAGCTTTTTGCAAGTCCTCATTGGTGTACCTCGGTGTTGACACTTTCGGTTTTTTAATTTTTACCCTGGAAATTAGAAAAATGAATTTTTTGTTTTAATTTCTTTCTTTATTCATTCTTATCAAATAAAGAAGTAGTTACAGAAAACATATTTTTATGACTGTCAAGGGAATGATGGAGTAGAGAAACATTTGAGGTTATTCTATTGAAAAATATCCGCCCGGTGACTACTCCCACCTGACATTCAGTTGGCCCAGTATCCGGATTCGACATTTTTGATAAAAAATAAAATTTTTTCATGTTATTTTCATTGCATGTGTCATCTACAATTGTTATTTAACTACTAGAAACCCAGGAAAATCTATTTTATACTCACATTTTGCTGTTTGATCCTTACGCTGCATCGAGAGATTTTAACCTTTGCACGCTACAAATGGCTTATCAGACGGTCTCACCATATACCCTCTCACATCAATTATCTTTTTATTATTTTCTGCAACTCGTAATATATCAATAAATACCGTGATTTATGCAGAAATAATTTAGCC